TTTTCACGGGTCGTGTGAGAAGACCCTTGTTCTCATTTGATTTGCCAATCAGAAGTTCACACTTTCTCACACGTTATTGTTTTCGTTCTTTTTAAACCCCACAAAGAAGATATCTCAACACACACGAAAACTTCTCTGTTTTCCGCTCTTCTTAACGCGTTCTTGCTCTCTGTTTCCTTCTCTGATTACTTTCAATTCGAGAGAGAGAGAGATAGAAATGTCTAGTAATGGTGGTGGTTATGTTGAGTATAATGTCTATGGCATTATCTTCCAAGTTCCTAGCAAGTATGTTCCTCCTCTTCGTCCTCTCGGTAGAGGCGCTTCTGGTTTCGTATGGTGAGTATTTTGGTTGCTCTGTTTTCCAATAATGATTAGCAGTGAAAAGTTTGTATCTTTTCTTATGTTCTTTATGAATTGATGAAATATATGATTTGGTCCCGGGTCTGTTCTTGAGTATCAGAGATATTTGAATATTTTCCTTTGTGAAGCTGTAGATTCTTGTTTTGTGGTTAATACATGTATGAAGATTAGTTATTGATCTTTGATGTTGATTAATTCTCAGTGCTGCTTTTAATTCGGAAACGGGCGAGGAAGTAGCGATAAAGAAGATTAGTAATGCATTTGACAACATTATGGACGCCAAGAGAACTTTGAGAGAGATTAAGCTTCATAACCATATGGATCATGACAATGTAAGAGAACCTTTGTGTCATGTATCCCTTTAACGTTTCTGCTTGTAGATTTTTCTGATTTTATTGGAGTTATGATTAATTCATTTCTCCATCTCGTAGGTTGTTGCCATTAAAGACATTATAAGACCACCTCAGCGAGAGAATTTCAACGATGTTTACATTGTTTACGAGCTAATGGACACTGATCTTCATCAAATTATACGATCAACCCAACCGTTAAATGATGATCATTCTCGGGTACGCATAAATAAACCTCTATATTCTTCTGTTTACTTCGAAGTTTATTTCTTCAGAAAGATTTGGGTTATACTTGGATATTAAGGTATCGGAATCTTTTTTGCTTTGACGACTCTGAAGTTGAGTTTTGTATGTTTGTGCAGTTCTTTCTTTATCAGTTATTGCGAGGACTCAAATACGTGCATTCAGCTAATGTATTGCATCGTGATTTAAAACCGAGTAATCTGCTCCTGAATGCAAATTGTGACCTCAAGATTGGTGATTTTGGACTTGCGAGGACTAAATCAGAGACTGATTTCATGACAGAATATGTCGTTACACGTTGGTACCGAGCTCCAGAGTTGCTCCTTAACTGCTCAGAGTACACTGCAGCTATCGATATTTGGTCTGTCGGTTGTATACTCGGCGAAACAATGACCAGGGAACCGTTATTTCCAGGCAGAGATTATGTTCAACAGCTTAGACTCATCACCGAGGTAAAATTCTATTTCATTTGTTTGTTGATCCATATAACAAACTCATATGTTAACTTTAATCATATTCAATACACAGCTTATTGGTTCACCTGATGATTCAAGCCTCGGATTCTTAAGAAGCGACAACGCGAGAAGATACGTAAGACAGCTTCCACAGTATCCAAGACAAAACTTTGCAGCTAGATTCCCAAACATGTCTATTGAAGCAGTTGATTTGCTGCAGCAAATGCTTGTCTTTGACCCAAACAAACGCATAACAGGTAAAGAAGAAAGAATAAGAAAGACTTTGTTAGTTTGTTACTCTTTATCTTTTTTTTTTTATAATAAGTTTGAGCTTTCTTTGAGTTGCAGTCGATGAAGCTTTGAGCCACCCATACTTAGCACCATTACACAACTGTAACAAGGAACCGGTGTGCGTGAGGCCGTTCGGTTTCGATTTCGAGCAACCTTCACTGACTGAAGGGAATATCAAGGAGCTTATATATCGTGAATCAGTCAAGTTTAACCCTCAAGATTCCTAGTGAGACTCTTCTTGAAGCTTTTCTTTCTCTGTATCTAACTGAATCTCTAATAAAGTTATGTCTCTAATATGAAAATAAGAAGAAATAATGTTTTTAGTTCGACACTAAGAATGTCACATTAATTATGAAACTCGTTAAATCATATTATTTGAAAGTTGAAACATATCAGGGATGAAAAACAAACAAAAAACATATCACTATACTATGAAGTAGGTTATGCTTTGTCATTATGGCCAAAAAGAGTAGGTTATGTGGGATTACCTAAATATTTTTATGATCTTTTAAAAATTTATGCGTGAACAGTTGAAAATATACTTATCAAACTTTTTTGGTTAATTATGAAAAACTGATATTGGTTAAGAGACAAAATGCAATACTATGAAAATTGATTGCTTAGGCACACAAATCAAATAAATTAGGATCAAACACAATAAGAAGAAATTAAGTAATTACCAAAAATAACATGGATGATTTGACCCGCGTTAATCGATATAGTCAAATAATTTTCATATATTTTCTTTGTTGAGATTATACATTATACACTTTCGAAATAGCAAATCTATAAGTTAATTGTTCAATTTCCAAATAATATAGTCAATTTATTTTTAAAGTAATGTTAATATTCTTCATTAAAAACAAAAAAAAAATAGTAATGGTTGACACGAACAACGACTCCATAACGACGAAACAGCCCTTTATTCTTGGG